ATATATGTCACTGCCCCGCCCTCCATTCGCCTCCCTCCATGGTGCTCGGCTGACTTCCGCCCCCCCCAGCCGGGCCACCGCGGGGGAGCAAACGGCACAAGCAACCGTTTAGGACCCGCGCTCCCCCTGCAGCACGTACCGCAGCACCCAAATGGCCACTTGCTCCCCCGCGGCGGCCTAGCTGAGTGTAGCAGAAGTCAGTCGAGTGCCATGGCAGGAGGCGAAGAGCGCGACTCAGGCAAAAGAGCCGCCCAGAGGGAGCAGCCAGCATTTCAGCGTTAGAGTCACAGACATTGGGCTACTATATGATTCTTGTCATTAAATATTTTGTTTTTTCTACTGCTCTTACATAAAAAGTGATATTGCATTGTTATTCCTGAACAACTCCCTTTTGCCAAGTTTCTGTCCAGAAAGACATAGTGTCATAAAAATTCTCTGGAAATAGCCATTCTGTAATACAGAATATATTACAGAAACCCAGACATGACTAAACTATAGCATCACAAATACAATAGCATCACAAATACAATTCTGTCATAAGAACAGTTTTCACATTAAGTTCTACAACATAATATTACTTACGGCTTAGTTAAAGATATAACATTTCCTTATCCTTATTAAAAAACCCTCCCCTTATAATTTTTCCCATTCCTCGGAAGTGAAGATAACCTGTTGAATGATACCTAAATAATACAATCTCAGCCAAATGTTCACAATATATTCTTATGACTTGCCAATGTGTACCCATCCTAAGGGCCGAACCATAGGTAATGGAACTATGAAAGGATGTGGATGCATTGGAAAGGGTCCAACAGAGGGCGACCAAAATGATTAGAGGGCTGGAGAACATTACCTATGAGGAGCGACTGAGAGATTTCGGTTTGTGTAGTCTTCAGAAGAGAAAGAGTGAGGAGGAATTTAATAGCAGCCTTCAACTTCCTGAAGGGAGGATCCAAAGAGGATGGAGAAAGGCTGTTCATAGTAGTGACGGATGGCAGAACAAGGGGCAGTGGTCTCAAGTTACAGTGGGGGAGGTCTAGTTTGGAAATTAGGAAAAGCTATTTCACTAGAAGAGTGGTGAAGTGCTGGGATGGGTTACTTAGGGAGGTGGTGGAATCTCCATCCCTAGAGGTTTTTAAGTCTTGGCTTGACAAAGCCCTGGCTGGGTTGATTTAGTTGGGCAGATGGCTGGACTTAATGACCTCCTGAGGTCTCTTCCAGCTCTATGATTCTATGAATGCTGCAGCACCCCAACATACCATTTATATACAGGATTTAGAGATTGGCTCAATAGCTCTCAGTACCCTCACTATAAAAATTGTTCCAGTTGAGGGATATAGCGATTTGTCAATTATCCAATAAGCATAAGCTTATTGGATAGTCAATTAGTGATGTGATTAGTTGTTTTCCCCCCACTTGCTGCCTTTATCAGAAAAAGGCAGCAAAGGGGAGAGCAGGTGCTGGAGGGAAGCCAGCTTTAAATCTGGTTCCCCCCAGCACCAACTCCACAGAGGGCAGGAGAGGTAGAGGCACAGTTGGAAACGGGGCAAGCTGGGACTAAAGCAGTCTCGGCTCATGCAGGATCTGCTCCGATTCTCGTTCTGAAATCTACAAGAGCCCTGGCAGGGCTTTTGTACATTTCAAAAGCAGAAGCCCTGCAAGGGTTCTTGTACACTTCAAAGGCTCAGGCACTGCAGGGAGCTTGGAGCAAATATGGGAGTTCCCCACTGGCCCCACACTCTCTGCAGGACTTCTGCTTTTGAAATGAAATGAAATGAAATGAAATGAAATGAAAGGCTCAGGCACCGCAGGGAGCGTGAGGCCAGTACCCCTCTGGCTCCATGCTCCCTGATGGGCTTCTACTTTTGAACTGTAGCAAGAGCCTGACAGAGCTCTTGCTATAGTTCAAAGGTGGCGGCGCACTTACTGACTAATTAAATAGTCAATGGAAATCTCATTGATTATTTGATTAGTTAATCTATATTAAACATCCCTATTCCAATTACAGTGAAACTTTTGAAATAATTTCAACCTACTGTCATCCCCAAGCTTGGATGCATATTCGTTAATTAATTCTCCTCCAACTTCCACTATCTGTTCACTGTTCCGATAGTTTTCTTCCCTCCACTTCCTCATTTTATCACGCATCTCTGAAAAACAAAATATAAGGTTATCATGCAATAATGTAATATGAAGTCTATTTCTGAACTGACTTTTAATCTAATCTCAACCATGTTCAAGAGATACACATATGCAATTTCTACTAATAACAAAGCTGCTTGGGGATAGAGCGATCCCTGGAACTTTGACCTTGTTACCTTACCGCCATTATGGAGACTACTTAAAAGGGGGGGGGGGGGGGAGGGAAATCTACTGAATTTGTGGTTTCAGAGGCTATTAGGTGAATAATCTAAATTGTCAGATGTAAAACAGGCTCCGTGAGAATAGATTCAGCTCAGAGCATTGTCAATTCATGTCCTTTAAGATCCAGTGTTGATCAGTTTAGTATCAAACTGTTAACGTATGTAGGGCTTTAAACAAAACGAAGCCTACACAAATCTTAAAAACTGAGGTCCTCCCCAACTGGAGATGACAACAAGTTGAAGATCTTATTAAATCTTACTAAGGATTTACATTAGTATTTATTCTGAGTCATCAATTACCCTCTCTCTACCTTGGCTGCCGCTTGTCCCTCTGGCTGTCACGCTTTCTGACTCTGAGTGAGTTATAGTTGAGTGAATCTGTATAAATATACTTTGGAGGGCATTCAGATTCTCCTGCATGGAAATCTGTACTATACAAGATATTTCTCATCATCAATACTGGGAAGGAAGGAGACTCCGTGGAGGGTGGACAAAGAAAAACAGAACATGTGACATTTCATTTTGAACTTAGCTATAAAACAAAGCTTTATCATACTAACAAGAAAAACAGACCTCCTATTTTCAAACCTGTGATTGGTATCTACAACATAACTTTTTCTGTTAACTTTCCAAGTAATTTTCAGCATCCTCAGGATCTATAGCTTTCCTTTAACCAATAGGTCTTGCTATTTGTTTTTCAATTTGACCTTTCAGTTGCAATGATAAAAATCTAATCGAAACTAGTATTTTATGGTAATGTATGATTATATGAAATGATTTAATAATAATAAAAAAAAACCAACTTTCCTCAAATGCTGACTTCCAGATTGAGACAATTCACTTGTACTACTAAAATTAAATCAGACAAGAACGTTGTATAAATGTATATATTTTAGACTTTTTACTGGACATATTTTCTAGACAAAGCAATTTAACTTTATAAACATGGCATCATCCTCTGCACAGACAATTTTTAGACTAAAATTCTTATTGATGTTTTATTTATCATATGTGCAAGCCACCACCAAAACTGTTCTTTAATATAACAGCTCTATGGGAATAAATTTGATTTTGGAAGAGGTCAGCAATAATATAAAAATGCAACTGATAAATATGAGACATTTTTAAAGCAAAAATAAATAACTGCTGTAAAATTCCATTCTAGGAATGTTCTGTGTGTTGCCATAATGATATGCAGCTTGAAAGGAGGCATGAGAATAAAGACTTTCTTTGTGAAACAGTAAGTGGGTCCTATATGTGAAAATTACCAAAGGAAACCACTTCATATATCAGTAAGATAGAAAGGACACCAAGGCTGTGTCCAGACTCAGGTGTTTTTTCGAAAAAAGTAGCCTTTTTTGAAAAAACTTCACCTGCGTCTAGACTGCAGCCGCGTTTTCGAAATTAAATCGAAAGAACGTGGCTTTTCTTTCGACGGCGGTAAACCTCATTTCACGAGGAAGAACGCCTTTTTCGAAAGTGCTCTTTTGAAAAAAGGTGTTCTTGAAAGCAAACAGGGCTTTTTAGAAAGAGAGCATCCAGACTCACTTGCTCTCTTTCGAAAAAGCGGCTTGCTTTTTCGAAAGTTCCGCGTGCAGTCTAGACGCTCTCTTTCGAAAGAGGCTTGCGGTCTAGACATAGCCCAAGCTTTCAATTTTAAAATTTCGAAAGAGCATTTACTATGGATCCAATCTTAAAAAGTTCCAGACCTGATCCTAAGGTCAACTGTAGTAGGGCATATTCACCATCACACAGCAAAGGTGAATGTAGACAGTTTTCTTGCATTTCAAAATACACAATAAAATTTGACAGTTTAAAAGTAAACACAGACCCTTTTCCATCTACCAGAAGGGATCTCATTTCTTTCATAAAACTGTACTGTGCCACATTTTGTATTATGAAAGTCAACCATAACTACTACATAGGTCAAATTAAATGCTTCTTCACAAACTAATTTGTTCTTGACACAACAATCAGTGGCAATTTAAACATTAGACAGCAAGAATGTATCACACAAATTGACTGTGTAAATATACATAAAATAAATAAGTCATCTAGTTTTCACAAATTCATTTGCTTGACAACTACTAAAGCCTCCATAACAGTATAACTTTCAAATGTAATACTGTCTAAGCTATTAACAACATTCATGTCAATCATTAATCACCAAAGTAGGCTTTTCAATGATTGGAAAAAAGCAAAACACAGAACATGCTGTATCCGTTGACCACTGAAAGTGAGAAAACAAGTACAAATAAATGTTCTAGTATAAATACAATGAAAGATATGTTAGTTAGATTATAAAGTGCTGGATTATGAACAGAAGGCAGAAAATAAATGTTGGTAACATCCTAAGCAGACTCATTTGGGGGAGGGGAGGAGTGTTAAGAAACATCAATTGTGTCAATCGGGCTACATTTTTAAGGAAAGTACATCTGTACAGTGTAACAAGGGGCTGAGCAGTAGCAGTGCTGGACTCTGGCAGTGGTTTGGGGAGGTTATATTTATGTCACTAGGTCTATAAATTGATCTAAAAGAACTGATGGGCTTGTTCATTTTAGTGTAGTTTAAAACAGCAGGTGACTCCCGGCCTGAGGTCTGCCACCAGCACCTGGCACCAGGGGGGTCCACCCTCTGCTCACAGAGGGCCATGAGTGAGAGGCTACTCCCAAGCACTGGTTAACTGGCAGCCAATAAGCACCAACTGGGAAGGATGATGCTTATCAAATTGCTGGTTACCCATTCACATCCCTAATCCAAACTTCTGACTAGCAGTCTTCACAAGAAAGAAAATCCTCATCTATAATGAAGACCCGTGCTTTATCCATTGCTCCATGTTGCCACTGTGGCCACTCAACATCTGTGGTTAGCTAAGATAATGTTCAAGAACCTTACTTTTCTCTGTGGCAATGCCACTTACAGTTATTTCATAGGGTGAATAAAATAAAACTAAACATTGTATTATGACAATAAATAAAAGATGCTTAGAAGGAATTTCAAACAGTTTACAAAGTATAACAAAAATATCCACAATCTTTTAATGTGAATCTGGAATATTAGGGCAAAGTCAGAATATAAAGGTAAAGAGAAAGCTAAATAATTATTTTTATACAGCCGCTCCCCGAGTTGCGAACAGTGGAGTTACGATTGTTCGCATTTACGCCCAAAGTTCCCATGGAGCAGTCATAAAGGAGGCCCTCGAGTTACGAACGCGACCCGCGCTTACGAACAGCGCAGTCGCGTGTAACTCAATGGGATCAGAGTTAGGAACAGATCAAGTTATGGCCAAGTGTTTGGTCCGTAACTCGGAGAGATGCTGTAGACAATAAATTTGAATCCAATTCTTAAGATGCATGAGGGGAGTAATTTTGTCTTCCATGACTGAAGCAGAATTTTCTGATCATTATTAACCTGGTTACTATTACAACTCCAGTTTGAAAGTTGTGTGCTAGGAATCAATTTGGGACTCTTAACTTCACTACAAATGAAGTTGCCCCATTTATAAATTTGCAAGTCTTCCATATATTGTGTTTTTAATGTTCATGTTTTTAATGTTAATATATACGTTTTGGGGGGTTTTTTAAACAATTTTTCATTGTTTTAAAAAGATGTGGGCAGCATTCCTTATAAGCTATGCACTTGTGCCACCACTCAAGAAGGATTCAAATGCTGTACAGTTGATTAGCAGAGTGACCACTGTAAAGATGTTAAGTATCAAGTAATTAACTAATCGAATAGTCGATAGGGAGCCTCTGCCTTTGAAGTGTAGCAACAAAATGGAAAATGAAATTTAATGAGGATAAATGTAAAGTAATGCACATTGGAAAAAATAACCCCAACTATAAATATAATATGATGGCGGCTCATTTAGCTACAAGTAATCATGAAAGAGATCTTGGAGTCATCATGGATAGTTCTCTGAAGACATCCACGCAGTGTGCAGTGGCAGTCAAAAAAGCAAACAGGAGGTTAGGAATCATTAAAAAAGGGATAGAAAATAAGACTGAGAATATCTTATTGCCCTTATATAAATTCATGGTACGCCCACATCTTGAATACTGCATATAGATGTGGTCTCCTCATCTCAAAAAAGTTATACTGGCATTAAAAAAGGTTCAGAGAAGGGCAACTAAAATGATTAAGGGTTTGGAACGGGTCCCATATGGGAAGAGATTAAAGAGACAGGGACTTTTCAGCTTGGAAAAGAAGAGACTAAGGGGGGATATAATAGAGGTAATAAAATCATGAGTGGTGTGGAGAAGGTGAATAAGGAAAAGTTATTTACTTGTTCCCATAATATAAGAACTGGGGAGTTCCCAGCTGATCCTGGGCTCCAACTGGTGCTGCCTCTTTGAAATGCCATGAGGAGCCTGATGTCCAGCTGCCCGTAGCATTTCAAAGCAGCATTGCTGCAGAGCCCAGGGTCAGTGCCCAGCCGATCTCCAGCTGACCACGGGATCTGTGTGGTGCTGCCACTTTGAAATGCTGGGTGGAGCCTGATGCCGGGCTCACCATGGCATTTAAAGCGGCAGCGCCGCACAGAGCAGCTGAACCTGGGCTCAGTGCAGCACTGCCGCTTTGAAGTACCCTTCTGTTCTCTCCCCCTGTTGTTGTCTCTATCTGATAGAAGCAGGAAGTGGGGGAAGCTACAAGTTGATTAGTCCTTCAGATCCCTAGACCATAGCTAGATTTTTATTTCTATTTTATTTATGGTGGAGCGTATCTGCACATGCCTCAGTGCACAAAAAGAAATGTACTTAGCACATGGATGGAAAAAAGGGGGGGGGGGGCATTTGATAGCTTCTATTTTGATGAGACATATGTAACAAGATTCTATACAATTAATTATTGTTCACAACTGCTCAAGGGATTACTGGGCAAGCACATACTGATTTACTATTAAAATCAAGATATATTCTGAAGGATTATGGCTTCTTTCACCTGCCTTTCTGAGAGTGCAATGTCCTTCTGAAGCTGGTACCCACTGAAGAAAAAATATGCACTAAAATTCCCTAATAACAAATTCTCCCAGATGTGTTATTAATCAAGAGACGTAACTTTATTTTTAGCTGAGACTGAATTGATAATGCAATTCTGCTTGCCTGAGAATAAGAAAGAGTGGCAGAATCTTATTTACTTTGTATAACTTTGAGCCTTGACATGAAAACTAAATGTAACTTTACTTGGCTTCAGTCACCCTAACTGATCATTGCTGTTTGTGGTTCAAATTGACTTTTGTTATGTTGTCCAACTGATGTTGCACAATACCAGTTTCTGATATGGCTTTTATATAAAATCCTTTTTATTTTTTCTTCAATCAAATTCATCCCTGGAGTAACTGCAAGTAAATCAATGGAGTCACACCACAGATGTATCTCATCTGTGATTAGTTTGCACTTCTGTCAATGGACACTTATACCAATAGACCCTCACTAGTAAAACCATTGGGGGAGGGGGAAATAAAAATAATAATTCCCTAGTCATGTTGTAACATTTTACATTTACCTGCAAAGAGGGAGACCAATTATAAGCATTGCTGCTCAAATTACAAGCACTAACAAAATATTTGTGTTATAACCTGATCTACTGACATGATAGTTTTACTAGCACAGACATTATACTTTTAGGCCTACCTTAATGCTTTTCAAGAGCCCGAGAGGAAGGGACACCTATTCTACTGTTGTTTGCACAACATATTTTACTAAGCCTGGGTTATAAATTGCATAA